GTGCTACTGAAAATCTACTACTTCCATGTGTAAAATGGATGCAAGAAGCTGAAATGAAGCACCAACTCCTGACTCCTGTAACTTATAACGATCATGCTTGGAGTCCAACCTGCTGGGGACGGATGAGACCTTCTGAGCCATGCTGCACAGGCTGCTTTGTACATACCCAAGAGGGGCATCTGGGATCTCTGCATGCCTGACATCCTGAGGGTACAGCGATTCTTGCAGGACCATGGGGTCTCCAGAAATCCTATAAACATCCAAAGCCAAATTCAACTGAGACAAAATTTCTGTGGTGAAAGGTGGGTCCAGGGAAATGTGCATGTATGTATGTTTGAGAAGAAGCCATATGGGGACAACCAGGAAATTTAATTTTTACATTCCCAATATGGGCTATTTTTTTAAGAAAATATATGTAATTTACTTTCCAGAAAAGCAGAAATACTAATACTTGCAGTCTAAATAGTGGAATGTCAAAGGGGTAAGATCCATAAAAAATTACAGAAAAATAAATTGAATCCTTTGTGAGGAAGGTGCTGACATCCCTTGCAAGCAGGAGAATTCTGTCTTTATTGTCACTGACTGCAAAGGAAGATAAGAGTGCTGCTTGTCATCACAGCGGGGGCTGTATATTCAGCTGATGAGTCTCCATCACCATGGTATTTTCAGTATCTCTCAGTTCTAATCATGAAGCTTCTCTTTACAGATGGAGAAAGCTTCTTATTTCTTTTCCCCTTTTTTAACAGGTGGTGAAAGGATTTGCTGAAGATGCATATGATTTTTGGCAACTGCGAAAATAGACTTTCATCCTCTGAATTCCTCTCCCGTATCCTAATTAAAAGAAATTTGTGTCATACTTCCTTCTGTGTTGTGATATATATAGAAAAGTATAGCATATATTAGCTTAGCAGTAGATTGTTTTGACCTGCTAAATAAAGAAGCACATATATTAATTTCAGCTGTCAGCATGGATGGTGATTCTATTAGGAGATGGGGGAAAGAAAATGGTAAATAGAACCAGGATGTTGGTCTTTGCAATTCGGAATAAGCAAACTATCAGCTGCACAAAGCGTCTTTCAGAAAGAAACCTCTTCTGTTACTGTTTCTATTAATCTAAAAGTCATTTAGATCAATAAGATGCTTTATGAAAAGGGGCATGTACATGCTCAAGCCCTTGTCTCTCCATGACTTTTCCATCAGCACTGTTGCTCCTCTGTGTACAGGCTACCGCTTTCCCTTAGCAGCCTTGGTTTATACATCTATTTTCCTGCTTGTTGCTAAGTCTCCCTCTTAAGAAAGTTTGTTCTTTTCACTGATGGCATTTGATGTTTTGGGTTGAAGTGACTCCTTCCTCCAAAAAGAATGAGCTCCTTTCTTCCCCTTAGTGCTCCTGTTTTGCTGTTTCAGTACAAAACAAGCCGTTGCTGATGACTGCTGCGGTTCTTAGTGGAACACAGTGGCAGAAAGTGGCTCAATGCTCCTACTTCAGAAGAGAAGCCCAGGAAAGGGGGTGCTCTGTTCTTTGAATCTGTAGTCTCAGCGAGTCACTTGCAGCACCCAGGTCTTGAAATGCTTACCTTAATTTGCTGCTACACACTTTTGACAGCGAAACATAAATATTTAGTCACTGTTCAAAAGCCAGGCACTGGCACTAGACAAAAAAAGACAAGTGCCTACAAATAGGTCGTGTCTTGTTTCTTCTGGCAGTAACGTCTTACAGCCTGAAGAAGACAGCTGAATTCTGAGTCTCAATCAACAATGCATGTTGATTTCTAAAGAAAAAGAAGGCATAATAAGTCCTCCAAGTATGAAGTATCTGATTTACATAGAACTGTCCAAAAGCAAGGCCTGTCACAGACCTTTTAAACAGGGATTCCTTCTCCCAAAGGTGTTGAACTCCTCTGCCCAAACCCAGGCACTTGGAGGCAACTCTGCTTGATGCTTCCAAAATCCTAATCTGTCCAGAAAGTAGATTGTATTAATGCTAGTCCCCTTATTAGTCTTCAGAAGGAACAGTATAACCTGTTGACCCACTAAATAACCTGTTGTGCACCTGCATAGGACAGCACCTCTCCTGCCCCCAACCTATCCAGCCGCAGCAGAAAGTTGCCAACAATAAAGATAATTGTTCCTGAAAGGGTAATTTTCTTCCAAGTAACAAACGAAATGGTAGAACAACTTGTTATAGCAGAACAAAAGTGACTCCATGCAATCGGACACTGCAGATATTTGTCTCTTTAACCTTAGTCTGCTTCCAATAGAAAGGGAGAAAGCCAACTTCTTCCTTTCTTTCTGCTCTAGAGCTCATTAATAGATATGAAACTGCCTGCAACTCTGGGACAAACTCAGACCGTCATCACATCTCTAAAGTATTTGTGCTTAAAGCGTGTATATAGCTGGATGATGTTGTGTCACATCATGTTTAGGTTTGCCAACTGCCACTGAAGACCAAGAGCTCTCCTATCATTGGGGAGCAGGGAAGCAAGCGTGTTGAGCTGTGGTGAAGTCAAATGCAGACCTCATTTTCTACATCTCGCAGAACCACAAGGGAATGTCACGGGTAGGAGAGGCTGTCTGATAACACCCGCCACAGAAGCATGAGGGTGGACAAAGGAAATTTCCTTGTCAGCTTGTGAGTGTGATAAAGAGTGCAAATAGGCAGGCATGCAAACAGTAGCTACTTAGTAAACACAGCTATTCTTAGTTTGTGGACTGTATCAGCTCAGGTGGTCACTGCCTCTAGCACACCAAATTCATCATCTTCCATTTTAGGTTTGTCTTTCTCTTCTCCTCATGACCTTGCAAAAAAAAAAAAAAAAAAAAAAGGCATAGGGTGTGTTGGGGGAATTTATCCTGTATTTTTTTGTAACTCAGCCCAGTTTCAAAGTTCAACTGAGACTTTCCTGCAAGGGAAAGGTGAAGAAAGTCCTGGTCTGACCTCCATTTTGGAGTCCTTTTCTGCCTGTCACCTGATCTTGTTGGAGCAAAGATGACATCACTTTCCAAAACTCCTCCAAGTTCCTAGATCCCTTCCACACAGACTGTTCAGATGTACCAGCATTTTCACCGTGCCCTAAAGATGCTCACCAGGCTAAGGAAGGAATTCAGAGCTCAAGCAAATATTAATGCCCCAGCACAGCAGGAAAGTGAGGTAATTCATGCTTTTCCTGCTTGGATAAAGAGTTACTGAAGAGTTATCCAAGTGAACCAGCTATGATTGGTTGGGAAATATGGTATATGGGTTAAAGAATGTGGAAACTCCAAGAGCAGAGGATGAGTAGGCAGTGCTAAATATCCAGAACTGGTTCTGGCCAGAGCAAACCAATGTACCAGACAAAAATTAAGTAGTACAACAGAGGAATTTAAGATAATAAAAGGGAATTCAGTGCAGTGAAGACAGTTAATTTTCACTGTATAATTTAAACTAAACAGCTTCCTTTTTTACTTTATTAATTAAAAAAAAACCACCAGCGCTGAGCAACTAAAACAAAAGAAGGCATGTTCAGTGTTTCTTTTTTCTCTCCAGATCTCCCCTTGGAGATGCACTGGTCCTGTAGCCAGTCCACAGTTTTTCACCTCTCAGAACTGTCTTGTTCTGCTAATGAAAACTGAACACAGACCAAAAAAATATACATGCATATATACATATAAATGTGTGCGTGTGTGTGTGTGTATATATATATATATATATATATACACACACACGCTGTCTGTAAGCATTCAATTGCTGCCTTTGGATGCTCACTGGCATGAAGCATGAATAGTATGACAGCATTCAAAGGCAGCAAGTGAAAGCTTCAAGATAGAAAATTCTTTATTGTTCCTCTCCTCCTTCCTCCACAGTAAATGGTGAAAGAAGCGTTTGCAGGCTTGCAGTCATGGGGCCCAAGCCTTGGACTGGAGCAATCTGATGTGCCAACAAACAGAAAGAATTATGTAATATAAGTAACGGTTATTCCCCCAACCCCACCTTTCCAAATTTCCTTATTTTTTTAGCAAATGCTCCAGATCCAAGGGTGAGAATGAAGAAATAGCATTTTAAAACTAATTTCATGAAAATACCGTAAAGAAAAATCTAGAAAGGGAAATCAGCATTGCAGTGAAAGGGAAAATGTGAATCAGTCACTGTGTGAGTTCCAACAATTATTTTTTTTTAAATCCATCTGTAACATGGTGCAACAGTCAACAGAAGAGGATTCTGGCAGGGCAACTGGTTGCTTCTACATCTGAAACAAGAAGTTGTGGGTATTTTCAGAGCAGGAGACTGGATTTAGTGAGCATGTAAGCTACGACATTGGGATATATCTTTCCACAGTGTAATTAAGTAGTAATTAGTAGCCTTAGACTGTAGATAAACCACTGGTCTCATTTAACATAAAACAATGAGTGAGAAGGGGTAAGGAAAGAATATGTCGAAGGACCCTTTGCTTACTCTTACTAAAAAGGCTCTATCTATTAAGTGATTTAATCCTATCTGTGTGAACTTTGCTCTTACATAGCACAGTCTGTATCTTAACAGAGAAAGGATGCTTGTGTGGACCACCTGTTTCCTCTTCATGGTCAGTGTTTCTACAGAAATCACATTGAATGCATGATAAGTAATGTTAAATGCTTAGAAATCAAACATGATCTTGGAGTTGAAAAGAAGAAGCTGTGACTCTCTGAGGACTACCACTAAGATAGAGACCGCATATGGGTGGTATATCACAGTTTGAAAATCACCCTGCAATCTCCAGCCCTCAACTTGGAAGATGCAGAGGGAGGTAGCAATGTGACCTTTATAAATAGCTGAGTTATGCTCATTTGTTTGGGTTTTTTTTTTTTTTTTTTTCTTGTGGCTTGGATATGGAGAAGCATAGACAGCCTGTGTGACTTTGAAAACTTGAACGGAAATGAAACAGGAAGCCAGATCTTTTCACAGCTTGTTGATCTGTGAAGACAAGCTGAGTCTGTAGAGAGAGACTCATTTTCTACCCCTGGCAGAAGAAGTCAGGGGAGAGAAATCCAGCTGGGGGGATACTCTGGAGAGGAGATGCAGAGGAGACATGACAGACAGGCAAGTAAGAACAGAGACCCGTTCACTGAGCCAGAGAAACGAAGCAAAATTAACCACTCAAAGAGAAGTGTTGGTAAGTTCATAGAGCTGTGCTCTAAATTTTGGCATCTCACCAAGCTGGTGATCTGCTATAGAAAGCAAGCCCCTGTGCTGCAGTTCACATCTGCATGAGCACTGCTTTCACCTATGCATTGTACCTGACCTTGGTAGTAGTAATAAATTATGATAAACGGGGAAATGGTTCCTGGCTGTTAATAATGGACTCGAAAAACTGAAGGGTGAGGCTCTCACCAGTTCTGCACCTGGGTTTCCTACTCTTACTAGTTGGATGCTGTTGGTTTTGTCTCAGCAGACCCTTTTCACACTCCTTTTGAATTGTTTATGTTCTTTGGGCTGTGGTTATACTCCTCCTGCTCACCTGCAAATGGGGAGCAAGAACATAGCAGTTGCTTCTGCTGATGATTTGTGGCTTTAAACAGAGACAGTTAAAAACGTCTTCACACTTGCTTAACACAGTTTTCGGTATAAGCTTTTTCTGTGATTGCTTTGAAGTCTTGTGTGGGTACAAGCAAAGCGAGATAGTCATGGTCATGTCTGCAGCTTTGAGATGCTATGACCTAGAGAAAAACCTGGAGGTTCGTGTTATGGGCAAGTTCCTAATGCTGCCATAAAAGAAGGAAGTATCATAACTCGCCCTAAGCAACAGGAGTTTGCCATCAGCATATAGCCTTGCCTGAGTATCACAAACATGTGCAAAATGCCATGACCAGAAAGTCTGGAGGAAGAGAATCAAACTTAGGCTGCTTCCAGCCCGAACTCCCTGGAGCTCTCCCCTTGTCCACATGGAGCTGCTGCCTACTCAGAGGCAAAACAGGGGAGGCATTACTTCTACAGAAACATGTTCAATACATACTCTAAGTAAGGCCTTCTCTAGCTCCCTACATTGTTTTCCAAGCTATTTTGGGGGACTCAGACTTTCTGAATCCTTGTAACAGCACTAGAACCACTTCTGCACAGAAACTTTTCCAGTTAGCTGCTATTCCCCTTTTTATGGTTGATCTTGGCTCAGACAAGACTTTGCTTGCTCTCCTTAGGATTCTCCTAAGTCATATTCAGTTAACAAGAATGGCATGCCCAGAGCAGTCCAACACAGAGTGCAGAAGACCTGTGTGTTACCTGGCTCAGTCCCAGCAGAGCTGTGTGCATCCAAGGCTACGCGGTGGCTTCTAGAGGAGCAAGGCAGGTAGAGGCTGTCCCGTCTCAGTGACTTGTGAGGAGGGGAGACAACATCCTCCACAAATGTGAAAAGGTAGTAGGGAGCACTCCGTAAGTGGCTCAGGGAAGAGGTCCAGAAAGAGCTTAAGGAGGGAAAAAATGACTTAAAAAAATACCTTAAGAGGTTTCAAGTAAGTGATCTCTGCTTGACTGATTGCCCCAGGGCTTATTCCCAGCAAGAGCATGGGTGGAAGCGCATAGGCTATTCTCTAGGTCGCACTGACGTGCTGAATACATGCCCTGAGAAGAGAGACCAGAGCCGAGAAGGGAGAAGGACTCACTGATAATAGAGGTTGATCTGCAGTGTTTGTACTATGCGACTTTCCTCTCTCTTCTCTAATGAGTCAGTAACCAAATAAACATTAACTTTTCGGCCTGTCTGAACAAAGAAATCACCTATTAAATCCTAAAATCTTAACACAGGTTAGAGAGGCAAATTTGGATTTGGCTGGAATGCTAAACCATCAGGTGGCACTGACACCAGCCTGCAAGGAGAAAAGGGGAAGCTGAAGTGTGGGATAGCTGCAGGCAAGACACAGCTCAAAACCAAAATCCCATCCCAGGTGGATGCCATGTGAGCTATATCCTAACATCACCTCTCTCAGCTGCACCTCCTGAGACACAGCTACATTAAACTGCAAATTCCATGCCCAGAGAGCACCAGCTAGCTGATGCTGCAGAGACATAGAGGTGGCACTTAGAAATTTATTTTTTTCCAAAAGGGATTTTTCGATGGAGCAGCGCACAGTGCTGCCCAACTGATAACTTTAGGCCTCTCAAGTAACTATTTACTTTTGCTATTTTTAGCTGGTTTTTAAGCCTAGATTTTCTTTTACTTGGATAACTTGGATGTTTGTGGCTGGCTGTGAGCGCACGTAAGTGAGTGCTTGGTACATTGATACTGAACAGGTTTTGTCTGTTTTGTTCCTTGCCCAGATTAGCTGAGATGGATGGGGAAACAATCTGGTATTCATGGCAGATGGAACAAATCTCTTCACTGTTTCATGAAACATGTTGATTTTCTATCTCCAAGCATTTTAATATCTTGTGATATTTTAGAAAAAAAAACAACAAAAGCAACCCTGTAAGTTTGTCCCAGCTCTGCACTGGAGCAAACTTCTTGTAACTCTGTAGAAGAGTCAAGTCTGTGTCACTTGTTCAGACCATTACAATTCCCTTCTGTTTTTCCTGCAAAGTCCCTAGGGAGATGGAAGAAAATTGTTCTTTAATGTGTAACCAGAAAAGAAATTACACTGGCCTATGAAAATTCTCAGCCTACAGCTGGGACAAATTACACCTAAAAGAGCACTGTAAGGGAAGGTACCTGGCCAGGGTGAATTTCTTTCTGGATGAATGCCTTTCATCTTGGTAATGAGTGAATTAGTAAGGAAATCCACATTTAAGGGT